GGCTGGAGTGTAGTTTTTTTTTTTTTTTTTTTCATGTCACTTTTTTTTTTTTTTTTGAAACCATGTCACTCTGTCACCCAGGCTGGAGTGTAGTAGCCAATCTTGGCTCACTGCGACCTCCATCTCCTGAGTTCAAGTGATTCTCGTGCTTCAGCCTCTGGAGTAGCTAGGATTACAGGCACTCGCCACCATGCCCAGCTTATTTTTGTATTTTTAGTAGAGACAAGGTTTCTCCATGTTGGCCAGGTTGGTCTCGAACTCCTGACCTCAAGTGATCCACCTGCCTCAGCCTCCCAAAGTGCTGAGATTACAGGCATGAGCCACCATGCCCAGCCTGGTTTGGGACCTTTCAAAAGTATTCTTGTCACTGCCTGCTAATTCCCAGTGTGACTGGGAAGATGAAGTTACTGTCATTTTTTAAGTTAGAGGATTTTTGCATCCAACACGTTTATTAGGGGTCAGTTGGCATGTTGGCATCTCCAGTGAATTCAGTTCTATGACATTAACAGCCCATTCAGTTTGAGAGTATTTGGCACCTGCTGTTCCTCTGTGATGAGGAAGGACACGCCAAAGCTGCAAGCCTCCCTACCGCACACATTCACCATCTGCCCTCTGGACCCCACTCTTCAGAACTTGGAAGGCTCTAGACATGAGTGATCCAGAGACAGCTGCCCCAAAGAATATAATTATATACCTTTACACTCTGCAAGATGATCGATCCAGCTCATGGTGTACAGCAGGTATCTGCTGTTCAAGTAAACAACACATTGATTAAGGTCTCTGGTTTTTCAGGCAGTATTTTACAGGCACTGGGTTATATAGTGTTTGAGGCAACAAAGTCCCTACTCCCAAGAAACTCAAGTTCCACTTAGAAAGAATACTAGCTTATGTTTATTGAGTACTATGTGCCCATAAGTACTTTACACATTCTAACTTAAACAGAAACCATAAACTACTAGCCACTCAAACGAAGGATGAAGGTAATGAGGAGAGGACAATTAATTCTGCCCATAATGGTCAAGTAAGCTTCAGAGAGGTAACATTTGAGATGGGAAACCAAAGATGGTCATGGTTTCACTAGAAAAGGAAACAGTTCCAGAGGAACCACACACAACTAGTAGCCACATGGGCTATAGCAGAGGGTATGAAGGATCAAATCAGCATCCTACTAAGCACGTGTAGACTGGAACTACAGTAGGCAAAGCTTTGAATGTGTGGCGTTCAAAGATTTAGACTTTAGAAGATCTTCAAGCACAGTGCAATGGCTTGTACCTATAATCCCAGCACTTTGGGAACTGAGGTAGGAGGATTGCCTGAGCCCAAGAGTTCCAGACCAGCCTGGGCAACATGGCAAGACTCCACCTCTAAAAAAATTAAAAATTAGCTGGGCTTGGTAGCGTTACCTGTTGTCCCAGCTACTTGGGATGCAGGAGGTCAAGTCTGCAGTGAACCATGTTCATGCCACCATACTACAGCCTAGGTGACAGAAAATGCAGAGATAGAATTGCAGGATTTAATTACACAAATGCAAATCTAAGGGAGGAGTATAAAGATGAAACAAGGTTTTCCACCAAGACAAGGAGAATGAAAGAAAGGGAATGAGTTTTGTTTTGTCAAGGGGACTTTTGGGAAGAAATTTCCAGTGGACAGTTAGTTAGAACTGGATTTCAGGAGAAAAGGGGTAGAGAGTGATTTTGGAGTTTAAGATTAAGTAGAGCAAGAGACGCCCAAGGACAGAATGGTGGGGAAGACTTGACATTTAAGGGGCAGGAAGAACAGCTGGAAGGGAAGCAATTAGTGGTAGGAGGGGAACCAAGGAAAGCTGTGTTAGCCAAGCTCAGTAGCTTCTTTGCCAAAAGAATGAACTGGGCCAGGTATGGTGGCTCACACCTGCAATCCCAACACTTTGGGAGGCCAAGGTGGGTGGATCTCTTGAGCCTAGGAGTTCAAGACCAGCCTGGGCAAAACCCCATCTCTACTAAAAATACAAAAAATTAGTTGGGCATGGTGGCAGGCACCTATAGTGCCAGCTACTCAGGAGGCTGAAGTGGAAGGATCACCTAAGCTGGTAGGTTGAGGCTGCAGTGAGCCATGATTGTGCCATTGTACACTTCTTCAGCCTGGGTGACAGAGTGGAAACCTTGTCTCAAAAAATAAAACAAAAAAAAAACTGGCAGGATGAAGGCTGATGGAGAACTGGATAATTGTAATAAATAGTAGAATAGTTACTGCAGGAGAGGGATGTGGGTCTGACGACAAGCTTGAAAAACAGGCATCTTTTGACCAAGGGAGCCAGCAAGTCGGTGAAGGCTGCCTCATAGTGCCCTGCTTACTTGCCCTTTTATCTGCTTGTATCTCTTCCACTCAGAGCCCCGAAGCCAGGACAGGAGACGGCGGCAGCAGCCACTGAACCATCGTCCTCCTGCAGGCAGCCTGGCTCCATCCCCAGCTCCTGCTAGTTTTGGCCCAGCCTCCTCACACAAGCTGGGCTCCTGTCTACTGCCCGATTCACTCAACATACCAGGTCTGTACCCGTTGCCACTGAAATCTGGGCTGGCCAGCCTCCTCCATAACCAGCCCAGGTTCTTTAGTTGGGAGACCAGGGACATCAGTTATCTTCTTGGTATCCTAAACCTCTAACACTGGTGCCTTTGAATAGGCAGGTGGAATTTACTAATGTCTTTGTGTAATACAACAATAGTTCACATTTACTATGTGCCAGGCACTGCTCTACACACTTAATCTCATTTAATCCTCATTTTCCTCATTTGAGGAACCTGAGGACTTTGTCTACCTGCAAAGTGATACTTATGCAAGTTCCCTGACTTCAGGAGCTGGGCAACATTAGACAAGACAGGAGAATGAAAAAAACATAGATCTTTCACCTGTCAACACTGCCAAATGTTGTGTGTAGCCGTATCACTCACACAAAACTTAAGCCATCTCTTCTCCTTTTAAATTATAGACCCAGCTATCTAAAGGACTGGATGGGAATGATTCTAAGACTCTAGTCCAGCATGTTCTACTTACTCAGAGGCCCCTACTTCCAACCTGTCAATTCTCCTCAATGGGTAGCACTGAATCCACCAGTCCTAGGTAGAGCTGACTTGATCCTCAAATGCTAAACATATGATTGGGGTAGGCCCTGCAGCGTATAAATTGACACAGGAGTTAAGCTTGGGTGCGTTCTGAGTCTAGCCTGGAGTTGCTGCTCCACCCCTTGGACGAGACTAGAGCCTCAACCAGGGGCAATTTTGCTGCCCAGGTGGCATCGGGCAACATCTGGAGACATTTTTGGTTGTTACATTGAGGAGGAGGGAGGTGAGGAAACCGAATATATTAGTTAGAGGCTAGGGATGCTGCTAAACATCCTACAATGCACAAGACCACTCCCCACAAAAAAGAATTATCCAGCCCAAAATGTCAACGTGCCAAGGTTGAGAAACCCTGATCGAAAGTAAGTTACCTCCTCTTGTCTGTGGCCCCAACCCTCATCAGTTTCCTCTGTTCCCTAGGGAGCAGCTGTTCACTCTTGTCCTCTGGGGACAAACCAGAACCTGTCATGGTAATTGGGAAAGGTCTGCTAGGGACTGGAGCTCAGATGCCCTGCATCAAGACTCGACTGCAGGTAATATTTTTGGTTCTTCCCCAGTCTCCAGCACAACTACTCTAGCAGAACCCAGCAATGCACTGTTCCTCTGGGTAGTGGGAGGGAAAATGCTCAGTACTGCTTTACTGCCTCTACCCCTGGCCACATCAGAGGGCTGCTCGGATGCCTGAGTGCTTGTCTGTCCAGTCCCCTTCCTGCCCTCCACCATCCCCATCAGCCAGGTCCCTTGCTTGCTTTTAGCCTGTGTCCCTGCCAGATATACCCCAACCTCAGCCTGCTAGCTTTGGCTTTCCCTGCCCCTCCCCTTAGCTTCTCCTCTCTTTCTGCCCAGACCTGCCCGAGGAGAGTTTCCGCCAGGAGGGGTCCCGGATTCCCCAGGTAACACATTTGGTTGCTGCTGCTAGGAACAGCCCTGCCACCAACTCCGATTCAGTCCAGATCCCCATGCTAGGTAAAGTTGAGTATAGGCAGAAGCTGACTGGATGGGTGAAATGTATGCTGCTCTGGCAGGGGCTGAGGCACAGAAGGCTCTGAGAGAGGTCTACCAGCCCTCCACTATCTTTCTAGAGTATTTCTCTACTCAACCAGACCTTAGCTGTGGTGTTGCCATGGTGGGTAAATGGTGGATCCTTTTGCCACCCCTAGTTATGTAGACTTGGAGTGTAGTCATGGACTGAATCCAGGACTTCTCTGGCTATTATCTTGTCTCACTCTTTCAGCTAGAATTCAATGTCCCAGTACCTCTGTTGATCCCCGTAACACTCTTATGCATGGAAATTCTAGGTGCAAACTAAAGCAAAAAAACTCATGGAAGAATCCAGTCTCTTAGCACACTCCCTGTCCACACAGGCTAGGCCCAGGTTGGGCCGGAGCTCACCGCCGACTTGCAGAGGGATGAAAGACTCTTCAGGTCCCACATCCCCTGTCCCCCGGACCAGGGAGAGCAGTGAGCTGGAGCCGGGACCCTGCTCTGCTACACCAGGGTGAGCACTGGGGTCCAATCCCTCACCCCACTCCTCACTTCTGTCACCTCATTCCCATTTCTGTCATTCACAATAATTTTCTGCCTTCCCTACTCCTTGTGAGCACAAAGACTAAATGTACTTTAATTAAGAATCTAGTCCCTGATATCTTTTTTTCCCCCCACCATGGCCACAGTCTTCACTCCACAGGAAAAGAAAACAACTTTTAGTTAGGGCCTAAGGCCTAAGAGCATCAGACCACCGTGCAGTCACAATTTGCCCATCCTTACCCGGCATCATTTTGCTCCACTTCTTTTACCTCCCATCCCCTGGTTAGCAGAACAGAAGAGGAGCAGAGTTTTCACAACCCTGATTCCTCTCTCTTCTCTGTTGCAGGCTGCCTCGGGCCAGGCCCCCACGGCCCCGCTCTGCCCCTGCCTTTTCTCCTATATCCTGTAGTCTATCTGACTCCCCGTCCTGGAATTGTTACAGCGGGGGTCCCTTGGGCCAACCTGAGGTTTGTTTTGTCCCTAAATCTCCCCCACTCACTGTTTCTCCCCGGGTCTGATAATGCCTTTATGTTCAAGCCCACGATATAGCCCCAAGATGGGGTAACACAGTGGGAAATATGCTAGTTTGCCTCCAGGCTGCTGATTCCACATGATAGCCGTTAAGTCCTTGGAATGCCAGCCACACTGTCCAAGGCATTACAGAGCATCACCTTGAAACAAGACAAAACAGGGACCTGCCACCCCTTCCCTCCCTCCGAAGCACAAGATTTTGGGACCACAAAAAAATATATCTATATTTTTATATTGGGGGGAGGGAGAAGAAAAGAAAGCAACCCCTATACTGGGCCCTATTGAGTGGCAGCTTCTTGTTCCATAGGGTTAAGGAAGACTGAGGAAATAAAAGTTGTTTGGAAAAATCCAGGTGTAGTTGCTTTGTATGTTGTGATGGGTAGAAGGGATGAACTGAAGTGTGAAGGCCCCTCATACCCTCCATCTTGCCTCAGACTATGTCCTGGAATCCTAGAAAAAAGGGGGAAAGACCTGAGGTAAGGAAAATGCTGCAGCTTTCCTCCGGGGAATCCTTCAGGAAGTAACGCCCATCCATGTTCCCTTTACACTTGTGACCCATTACTTACGGCTGGCTCCCAACCCCCCCCAACCCCCCCACCCCTTCCTTCTCTATAGTTTGGGTCTACAGCAGCCAACTCCTGGCCTCAGAACATGGAAACAGAATATTCTGTGTAAATAAGGCCTAAACAACCTGGAGAAAGTGAGGGCTATTTAACAGCCCAAATCCTCATACTTGGATGGTACCCTTGGTCCCTTCGTTCCTATTGGTGTTAATGCCTCCTTAACAACTGTACTCTCAACTTGGGCATCTACCTACTGGGGACTACAAGATGGGGTCTGTTAGGGTTAGGAAACACTCTCCCATTCTAGCCGGGAACAGTTTAGGGGGAGGGGACAGCGCGCTCTCTACTCTGCAGATAAAGGGGCCCAGTTCTGGACTGTATCATGCTTGGCCCGACACTTGCTGACTGGAAGCTTCGAACCCTGCTGGCCCTGGCGCGGCCTCACCACTCCTCTCTGGGGGCTGGGCGCTACAGCCCCGGGCCGTTACCTGGGGCAGAGAAAGCGCCACTTTCATTCCTGCTTCTTGGGATTGTTGACGGCCACGTAGTGATAGAGAACGACAAGCAAGAAGAGCGACACGCCCAGCATGTTGGCGAAGATGGCGAGCTGCACGTCCGTGATCATCCTGCGGAGGAAAGAAGGACTGAGCCGCTGGCTGGCGCACTTCTCGCCCTCGCAAGGACCCGTCCTCAACCCACGGGCCAACCCTGCCGTGGGCGCCTGCGTGCCTCTCACCTGACCAGTCCGGCTCGGCTCCGACGCCGCCTGCGAACAAGCCCGAGGTAGGAGACCTGGACCGGAACTTCGTAGCGCCAGCTCAGGCCCGAACCAGCCGCTTCCGGCGGGGGGCGCGGTCGGGACGGCCTCTCTAGCCCAGCCGTCTCGTCGGCTCCGCGTGTTGCGCTCGCTCCCGGCCGCGATCAGCTGCGGTGGGAGGTCCAGCCCTAGGGGATGGGGCGGGGCCGCGGACGCGCGCCTGGGCCAGGCACCGCACAGCTGGCCGCAGCTGGCGTGGCCTGGGAGGCGGCTAGAGAAGCCGTGGGAGCCGCCTCCCCGGGGCCGAAGAGTGGGCTGGGGCGAAGGTGCAGCGGCGGGGCGGCGAGCTACTCCAACCCCCTTCCGGCCCCGGCCCTCCGTACTGCTGCCCACCCTTCGCTTCCCGGCCCGGCCCAACCAGGTGCTTCCTTTGGGTCCTGCCCTCAGTGTCCTCTCCCTGGCTCGGGCAGCAGGGACGGGGGTGGGAGGCGGTGTAGAATGGGGACAGGGCTGGGGCTGCCGGGTGCTTCTTTCTCCGGCGCTAGCCTTCGTGACCCACATGCAACCTAGTAGAAAGATCCTGTCTGTGATCTGACCAGGGTCCGTCTTAGCCGGGCTCCCTCCCTCCACCCCACTCCCTGAAGTGGGCGTCGGAAATAGGGCGGACCCTCCCGGAATCAAAACCCAAGCCGTGGGACTTCGGCCAAGTGGGAAATCACCCCCCGGATGTGAGGGAGTGAGAAGAGGAGGAATGGAGAAGGGGAGGAAGGGTTGGAACAAGCAAGAGGGGCCCTGGGTTCTGGACAGATTGGGTCGCAGAAGAGTAGGAAGAGCGGTGGCTGCGGGTACCCGAGGGTCTCTGGCGAGGGCAGAGGCACCCTGGAACTCTCCAAGCCTCTGCCCAGCCATAACTTTCTCCCCCCTCACTCCATGCTTTCTCAGCTTCACCATAAAAGGTAACGGCACCAAGCCAGGCCGGGGCCGGGGGCTGGGCTGTTGCTCTGGAGCTGTCAGGGGTAATGGAAGCCAGTTGCTTTGCGGTAGAGGGGGGCCAGGGCTCAGGGGAGGCCTCTGCTAATCGGAGCCAAAGAAAACTCTACAGGATCTGCTATGGGTTTGGGACAGAGGACCAGTTTGCTGCCAGTGTTCACTGAGCTGGGGATGCACTAGCCCAAAGTGGCCTTCCCTGGCCTGAGACCATCAACACTTTGTCCCCAGTTTCAGCCCCGTGGCTCCTAAACATAATCCCTGCCATTAGTAGTCTGTAGTTACCCTGGGCTCCCCTCACCTCACCACTGGCCCCCACTCAATATATTTCCCAGAAGCTTCATATTTAGAAAGCCGAGTCCCCTCCACATAACATTGGTGAAACCCCAGACAGGTACTCCCGTATGTGTCCCTCAGTGAGCAGTCTGTTTCCAGCTCCTCACTGGGAGAGTAAGGGTCTGGGTGGTAAGGATTACACATCATTATGCTTCATGTCTCCTGGAAATTTGAAGCAGATCCAAGTCCAACCAAACGTTTAGGTCTACTGTTGAATCAGAACTAGCCCTCTTTTTTAAAAATAAGCTCTACCTCTAGGCAAGTCCTGGAAGTTAAACTTTATATACTGCAAATGATATGAAAGAAAGCC